TCAGGCCCTCAAAATTCCGCCCGCTCTGCATCCAAAAATTCAAAATACATCTCTGCATTGTGATTGGCCCGCCAGTTCTAGGAACTGGGGCATTGATCGAGCCTAGGCCCACTAGCAGACAAAAATGATTTTGGCCGCTGGCGGGTGGGGCTAGTTTACTAGGCTACAATCTCGATGCAAAATGTTAAAATCATAACGCAATATTCCGTAAAAGTATGAAAACAATCCACTGGACTTGGTTTCCAAGGTTTGAAGATGTTTCGCTTCTCCTCCAGGAAGCCTTCTCAATTCAAATGTCCTTGAATGACATTTGCTGTTTATTTGCTTATCTCTGAGCTCCAATCTGCACACAGAGGGTGTTTTCACCATTGCTGGGGATTTTAAACAGGCTCATTTTTACCAACATGTGGACTTTGAAACTCAGGGTGAAAACACTTAAGACCTGGTTTACTCTAACATCAAAAATGCATTCAGAGCAGCCCCCCGCCCCCACCTCCGGTCATTAGATCATCTCTTGGTCATGCGTATCCCTGCATATAAGCTCCAGCTGATCAGGGCTAGACAAGCTTTCAACACCATCATCCCACAGCATCTGATGGGCTAAACTGGAACAGCTGTGATTCAATACACCCCTCTGCTATTGGCTGCTAGACTTCCTCACCAACAGACCTCAGACATTCCGGGTCAGACAGAACACCTCTGATGTCATCAGTCTAAGAACAGGCTCCCCTCAGGGCTGCGTCCTGAGCCCCCTGCTGTTCACCCTGATTATACACAACTGCGTCCCCAGTTTCACTAACAATCACATCGTGAAGTTTGCAGACGACACCACAGTGGTGGGCCTCATCAGAGACGACAAGGACCAGATCTACAGAGAGGAGGTGGAGCAGCTGGTGGACTGGTGTAAAGATAACAGCCTGATCCTGAATGTGGAGAAGATGAAGGAGATCATTGTTAACGTCAGGAAGAACCGTCCTAACCACGCTCCACTGGTCATTAACAGCTCAGCTGTAGAGGTGGTCAACAGCACCAAATTCCTGGGGGTGCACATCACAGACACCCTCACCTGGAATGTAAACACCACCTCAGTGGTCAAAAGGGCACAGAAGCACATGTTCTTCCTGCAGAGGATGAGGAGAGCCCACCTGCCCCCAGAGAAGAGTGATGAGAACAGCAGAGAGGATCATGGGGGCTCCTCTTCCCTCCGTTAAAGACATTTCATCCCAGCGCTGCGTG